TTCTAAGGAATGAGATGAGAGACCAGGATCCCTCAAAGACATCTCCTACCTTGGGTTTGGGTTTGGGGATTTTTTTTTCCTTCTTAAAGGCGAGGCGCACATTCCTAAGCAGCTATGTACACAGCTCTCCCGCAAACCTCGTCTGTGCAAAGTTAGAGTGAGTGTTCAGTTATTGTCGTCCCCCCCCCCGTCCCCCCCAAGGCTGAACGCTAATAATAAACGGAAAGCACTTCCCTTTAGATTGTGGGAGATCTATTCCCTTCACCTTTCTTCTTTTCTCCCCCACCCCCAGAAGGCTGTAGCCTCCTTTTTTATTTATTTATTTATTTACTCTCTCTTTTTTTTTTTTATCAGTTTGCACAATCGCTAGATAAACACCAAGAAGGAGATTCTCTTTAATTACCCAACGCACATCTTTCCAGGGGGGCAAACAGCGGTTGTTGGTTTCTTTTTTTTTATTATTTCACCTGCCAAACTAAAGGAGAGGTAGAAAAAGAAGATGCAAGCGATTTGGGACCTTGAACAAGGCAAATATGGTTTTGGTATGTTTACTTATAGTTTCTTCTTTTTCACTCTTTTTTTTTTAATGTGTTGTGATCTTGTGTGTCTCTTAAGGGAAAAATTGTTAGATAACTTACGTATTAAACTATCGTTTCTAAGGTTACGTGGGTTGCTCGAAGAGGGTGGGGGGAAGAGAGGGGAGAGACCCAGTGTCTGCAATTACAGCACCATCCGTTACCACGTCCTTTAGTTAAAAAAAAATAAACAAAACGACCCAAATCCGATTCAAAAGCTAACATACAAACGTGCATCAAAGTCACTTCAAACAAGAGCGAAGAACGAATCGCCCTTCTGAAATTGTATTGCTCGCTCCATTCTACTTTGTTATAGTAACTGACTATTGGGGATGGGGGGACTAGATCTCTAAGTTCGGAGCTGGGGATTCTGCCAGGAATTTTGTAATCGCGTGAAGTTGGCAGGATTTTTTTACAATAATAATTTGAGAAAGCTCGGGTTTGAACGTAAAGCGTGGAGAACCCATCTCTCCCACCAGGAACAATTCCGCTTTAAGCATGTACAATGGTAAGAAGCAGGAATATATATACTCACCCTCGGAAGGTGCGGGTGGCAGGCAGCAGCTTTAAGGCGAATGTTTATCCTTTATTGCAAAAGGCGCAGATCTGACTTTAAGCAGCAAAACTGCTCTGTTCTGACAAACGCATGAGAGGCATGGCTCCTCATTTTTTTTTTTTGAAAAAAAAAATCACAAACCAGTCCCCGTCTCCCCCCC